ATTTCTCACTTCCTGCATGGGGTTCATTTTGTTCATCCCCTCATACGCTCCACAACCTCATTATTACTGTTATTATTATCAGCTTGTATTCTGTGCTCATCTTCATTTTGGTGTTGCTGACAATTTTCAGGATGGGATGCGATTGGGCCGATAAAGCCTTTTTGTCCTTGTACTCACTCTGCCGCTCAGATTGAGTGTCCAGGAACGAAAAGGACTCACCATGGTATGCACTACAACAACAGCAGGGCTGACAGGAGGTGGGGCTGCGTGCTGGAACACAGGGGTGGGAGCAGAGTGCTCCCACAACCACTGTCCCTTATGCCTTTTGGAGTTCTGCTATTTTTGTTTGTTTCTGTCAACTGGTATACAGTTCTTGTGACTGCTCCTAACTAGGATTCCTTTTCCCTGGACCAAGCTCTACTCTTCAGTACAGGACAATTGTTCAATTCACTCGCAAAATTGTGCCCATAAATAAATATTGCAAATACTCCTTGCTCTAATAATTGCAAACATAATCATATGAAATAAGTGGAAAATATAAGAAACCCATATAGCAACAATACAGACAGTTGTACCCCCTTTTCTGGAGTTCTGATTTTTGTGGTTTCAGTTATCTTCAGTCAACTCTACTGAAAAATATTAAGTGGAAAATTCCAGAAATTAAAAAAAGTAATTTTAAATTGTATGTGTTTCTGGGTAGCAGTCAGGTGAAATCTGGAGTTATTCTGTTCCATCACAGCAGGGGGTGAAATCGGCCCTTGGCCAGGGTATCCAGGCTGAGTAGGCCACCCACCTGTTAGTCAGTTGCTGCCCTCTGAGTTATCAGATCAACAGCAAGGTTTATGGTCTGCTGTTAATAATGGAATGGCCAAAGCATAAGATAATGAAGCTGGCAATTTGTATGTGCCAAAGAGAAGCCATGAATTGCTCCCTTTTAGTGGAAAACTGAAAGTATTTGATTTAAGGAAAGAAAAAAAAATCACATGCTGAGATTAGCAAAATCTGCTATAAGTTTTTGTTTATCTCTTATTGTGCCTAATTTATAAATTAAACTTTATCACAATTATCTATGTGTAGGAAAACGTAGTATATGTAGATTCAATGTAATCCATCGTTTCAGGCATTCACTGGGGGGCATTGTAATACGACCTCTGTACATGATGGGAAACAATTATAACTTCAAAGTTGTGAAACAATTTCAAAATATATTATATTTTAATGTAAAAGAAAATATGGAGGGCAAGCATTTGTCCTAATGGTTAAGAGATTGGTTAGGATGCTTACAGCCCTTACTGTAGTCCATGGGTTTGATCTCTGCTCGTGACTCTAGCTTCCTACCAGTGCAGACCCTGTGAGGTGCGGTGACAGCTCAAGCAATTCCTGCCACCCAAAGGAAGGCCTGGACATAATTCCCAGCTCCTTGCCAGTGTTCGCAAATTTAGTCATTGTGGGCACATAAGGAGTAAAACATAGGGTGAGAGCTACTGTGTGTTCTTGCTTTCTTCCTATCTGCCTCTCTTTGTCCCCCTGCCTCCCAAATAAAAATGTAGAACATTGAACATATTGTCTTGCAGGTGTATTACACAGAAAAGTCAGAAAGCTGTAACTGATTCATTTATTTCTTGAAGACTGAATAGTAAAGTCAGGACTAGGGATGCACATTAGCAACTTTGAGTGTTCATTAAACCATGATGTCAAAGAATTCATTCAAAGTGACAAAGAACTTTCAGGTGGTACTGTATATTTTTAAGTAGATTTCTCCTTAGGGTATGTTTTTGTGTAACAGGTCTGCTCCCTAACAAATGCTTTCATTTTCCTGTTCATTGGCATTGGAATTAGTATTGGGAAATTTATTTTTTATTCCATAGCATTCTGTTGCATTATAAAGATTTGGACCCTAGTGAATTATTCCATAAAACCCTGTACAACTTTCTATGAATATAATTGTTTAAAATAAGGACCCATAAGCCGTACTTTGGAAATTTATATTCATTAAATAAAAGTTAGAAAAAAATAAATAAAATAAAATAAGGATAATCTGGGGCCAGCTTTGTAGTTCAGGAGCTTAGGTCACCATCTGCAACACTGGCTTCCCATGTGGGTGCTAGTTCTAGTCCTGGTTGCTCCACTTCTTCCCCTCACACCCAAGGTTTATTCTTCATTTATTTATTTATTTGAAATACACTTACAGAGAGAGAGAGAGAGAGAGAGAGAATCTCATCTGCTGGTTTACTCCCAAATGGCTGTAAAAGCTGAGACTGTGCTAGGCTGAAGCCAGGAACCAGGAGCTTCATCCTGGTCTCCCAAATGTGTGGCAGGGGCTGAAGTACTTGGGTCATCTTCCATTACTTTCCCAGGCTCATTAGCAGGGAGCTGGAATGGAAACAAAGCACCCATGACCCAAACCAGTGCTTGTACTGGATGCTAGTGTCACTGGAGGCAGTTTAACATGTATGCCATAAGGCTGACCCCTGGTGGCTACATTTCTGATCCAACAACAGGCTAACGTGCCTGGGAAAGTCATGGAGGATGGCCCACTGCCTTTCAAGTGGGAGACTCAGATGGAGTTCTAGGCTCCTGGCTTCAGCCTGGTCTAGGCTCAGTTGTTGCGGCCATTAGAAGTAAGCCAGCAAATGGAAGCTATCTCTCTCTGTCTAAGACTCCATCTCTTTCTGTAACTCTGCCTTTCTTTTTTTTTTAACTTTTATTTAATGAATATAAATTTCCAAAGTACAGCTTATGGATTATAATGGCTTCCCCCCTATAACGTCCCTCCCACCCGCAACCCTCCCCTTTCCCACTCCCTCTCCCCTTCCATTCACATCAAGATTCATTTTCAATTCTCTTTATATACAGAAGATCAGTTTAGCATACATTAAGTAAAGATTTCAACAGTTTTCTCCCATACAGAAACATAAAGTGAAAAATACTGTTTGAGTACTAGTTATAGCATTAAATCTCAATGTACAGCATGCTAAGGACAGAGATCCTACATGAGGAGTAAGTGCACAGTGACTCCTGTTGTTGACTTAACAAATTGACACTCTTGTGCCTTTCAAATGAATAAATAAATCTTTTATTATAAAAGTGAGAGTGATCTGTCAACACATGAAAGATTCTCAAAAAATATTTTAATGTTAAAAATGAATAAGAACCTTTAGAAAACAGTGTATTATAATAGAGTTGTTTTATACCTCAAAGTAGACTAAAATTCTTTAAGAGAAAATTTGTTTCCACATATTTTAAGATAAAGATTTAAACGTGTACATTTTATCATAATTTTATAGGTAACTGCTAGATTAAAGAATGATCAGAGAAAAAGGAAAATTTGATAAACTGATACTGGCAAATGGTAGTGTATTATACTTATACCTGTAAATAGAATTGTAAACATCTAGAGTGATCATATTTCTTGTTGCATGTCTGAAAGGAAATTCCTTGGCCTGAAATATAATCCCTTTCTTTGAATTCAGTGTAAATTGTTTCTTTGGATTGGAACATTAAAAAGTCTTTGCTTATTTTCTTATTCTAATATTTAGTCTTTCTAAAAAATTATAACTATTGTGCTGTAAAACACAATATTAAAACTTAAGAATGCAAGTTAAATAATGAAAATTGATATATTGACCAAATTAGGTATGACTTCTATACTGGTAACCCTAAATGAACCATTTCTTTGAATGTTCTCACATTCTACAGCCCCTCTCACATGGACTCTGGGCTTGACCATGTAACTTGTGCTCACCAATGGGACAATAGACAGTATTACTCAAATAGAGGCTTGATAAATGCTTGCATGTTGGTCCTTCACCTCCTGGAATGCTGTTACCTTCTTGCAATAAAGTCTAACAAATTTTCTGCAGAAAGAAGCCACATGGAAGAGGATAGGAACCAATAACCTGAACCAAATGTGTGAGTAAGGCATCCTTGGATGCTTCAGTTCCTGAGTGACCTTAACCAATATTATATGGAGCAAGAGAATCACACCGCTGAGCCCTGCCTCGATTCCTAACCTACTGAGAACCAAGTGATAAAATGATATTATTTTAAGTAATTACATTTTAGAGTGATAGTTTATATAGCATTAAATAATGCACATAGTAAATGATATCAAGTATCTCTCTGATTTCTTTCTAGAAATAATCTCAAGTTGTGTTCTTGACTGACAGAGCTTTCTGATATTTTCATTATTTATTTATCTGGGTATTTGGTTATCATTGAGAGGCACTTCTTATTCTGTAACTCTAACCATTTGGACAAAGAACTAATGGTTTATGTGGAAAATGTGGTTGAGAATGGCTTTATTGTACATTGACTCAAACAAAATGGCAAGAAACTCCATTGCTGATAATGTTATATATATTTGGCTAATTCCACTCCTCACAGTAGTCAAACTGTGGGGAGAACAGTCTGATGGAAGGAAGTTAATTTAAGAAATTCCTGACACATAAACCTTCTATGGCTTCATCATACCATTGCTTTTATCTGTTTCTCTATATGGCATTGTATCTTGACACCAAATTTTAGGCACGGTAATGCCAAGAATCTTTGGGAACATTTAAGGAATAAAACATTCGAATGTGACATTTATTAGCTTGAACAAGCATGGGGGATGGGTGGGAGAGTGATTCCAGACATATTTCTCGTGAATTCTTCTCTAGGAGAAGAAATGCCTTGGTAGATGAGCCTGAAATAGCTAAAACACAAATGTCCACTTCTGGCAGATGATCATACTAGTTCATTGAATGATGTATATTTTGTGGCTTAAGTTAGAAACTTTAACAACTAAAAACAAAGTGTCTGCATACCAAGAGGAAAATGATGTAATCTGTCATGAAGTACAACTGGTAATAACATAATTGCTACTATTTCCATAGTCAGTATATATTTGTGTGCTTATTGTAGCACCATTTACCAGATAGGTATATAGAGAAAGTTTAGACATAAAATGCCAGTCAAGAAGGGTCCTGATCAGATAATGACACAAAAGTCACACTTACAGAGAGCAGTATTTGCACAGCACTGTGGATGACCTCCAGGTACTGGAAGTCGACGAGACAGTCTGTGACGGAGACGTAGGTGTAATCGTCCATCATGCCATGAGCTGCAGGAGGCAGCACTTTTCGGACGCAGCCAGGCCCATGTTCCCTCCACCATGACCGATGTACGGAGATGTTGAATGTCATTAGATCTGTATCCTGAGTGGACAGGAGACAAGAGACCACAAAGAGACAATCATATTACATCACATTTTTTACTTTGACCTTCTGAAGAATTCAGGATAAATGAAATGATTGACATGATTTCATTTTCAGGTGAAAGTAACAAAGACAAAGTAATAAATGACTAAATATCTATATATTTTTTCTTGGCTTAAAGTATTAAGATATGATCATTTCGATAGTGATGGTATTGTACAGTTAGCTCACCTCAAAGATCCAGAAATCAGACCCTTCCTGCATGCTTAGTTAAAAAACAATTTTGCTTAATATGCATTTTTATTGCATTTTCTTGTTACTGCAACCTTATTGACATCACTGTGATGGGCTAACTTTTATTGAGTGCTTTATTGCACATTAGACATTTCTTGAGTGATTTTGATATATCATTTCTCCTAATGTTCTTGTAGGTACTATTATTAACCTAGTTTATAGAAAGCTAAATAATTGTCATCACAAAAGATATTGATAGCCTGATCCACATGAATTGTATACTATATAGTAATAAAGGATTTTGCACATGTGTTTAAGTGAGAATCAAGAGCTGAGGAGATTATTCTGGATTATTTGGGTGGGCCCTAAATGCATTCACTCTATTCATTTTCTTTGTTTGTTTTAGAGATTTATTTGTTTATTTGAAATGCAAAGTTATGCACAGAGAGAGTAACAGAGAGACAGATTGTCCACCCTCTGGTTCACTTCCCAATTGGCTGCAACGGTCAGGGCTGTCAGTAGCCATCAGAAATAGGAGGAGGCCAGAAAGGAACCACTTTTAAAGCTCCCATGGGGGCATGTTCTTTCCAGAGCCTTGAGTTCTGTTCAGTGAAATTCAGACCTCCAGCATCTAGAGCTATGAGAGAAATTTCTGTTGTCTAAGCCATCAGGTTTGCAGTAAATTGTTACAGCAGCCATTGGAACTAACAGAGCTGGGAAAGTAAGTCACACAAAAGTAAACTACTTTGCCCGAGGTGGCACAGCGAGTTAGTGGTAAAGCTTCGATTTGATCCTATGCAGTCTGTACTTGGAGCTATGATGTAGTCCTCTCTCACATTACCTGGTATCTGCCCATTCTCACCCTTCACCACTCCTCATCCCTTGAAAGAAACTAGATCTTTCCTCCTCACTTGTTGCCAGAAAGTTCCAGAAGTGCCCAACAAAAGAACAAAGAAGATGATCCTTGATTTTCACAGAGCAAATGCAAGTATGTTTTCAGAGCTCCCAGTGGAGATAAAAAGAGTCCAGGATTTTGATTCTTAAGAGATGTCCTTTAGTACAGATTAATCATCCCTAATCTGAAAATCTGAAATCCAAAGCTTTTTGCCTGCTGATGTGCTACTACAATATGACAGGTCACAGTCCAAATGCAGGTGCATTACAAATGTTGTATGACATTACCTTCATGCTATCTGCATAAGGTACATATGAAACACATATGAACTTCATGTGTTGACTTGTGTTCCACTCAAAGATATCTCTTTATTTATATGCAAATATAAAAAAATATGAAATCTGAAACATTTCCAAGTGTTTTCAAGCATTTTAGACCAAGCTCATACTTGCGTTTCAGAATACTCATAAGGGCTATTCAACTTTTCATTCTGGAATGTCAGCTATGAAGAACTAAGTTCATCTCTTTTTTTCTGTCATAAACAATAGACTAAAAAGAACAGATGAGGAATCAAGCTCTCATCTTCCAAATAAAGATTACAATTGTGTGTGTGGAACAGGAAGGCAGAGGAGTGATGATGGAGAGAGGGCCACGTGGCTCTTGGACCAGAGAACTGCATTGTAGGGTATCTGTGAATGCAGGAGCAGAGTCAGTGGGTGTTGATTTCCCAGTGTTCTATCTCTCCCAGCAGGTTCCACTGAGTTAACACCAGAGAGCTATATTGGAGCAAACTTTGCAAATGGTCTTTACTAAGAAGCACAGAGGTTAACTGTGCAGCCCAAATGATGCTTGCCTGTGCACTCCAAGGTCTCTTTGAGGACAGTTTCTGAGCATAGTGGCCTGCGATGCATCTAAGTGCCTGAAATTGATGTGAGGACTCTGACCACATAGGGGAAACTGGTAGGAAATGGAAAGCCCTTGAGCTTACCCATGGCTGACTCTGAGAGTAACCACTGTAGAGGTCTTTGCACAAGGCCAGTGGGGACACCTGCCCTTTATACACTGCTGTTTATGGTAAGGAATCCTGAGATTGGAAACATTTCTAATGCATGTTAGTGGACAAAGTTGCTATACATTTTTTGAATGTTTTTCAGTTCAAGTGCCATTATAAGTATGCCTCAAATTATATCAATAATAAAATATTTTACATTTCTTGTTGTTTTGTTGGTTTGCTATTCAGTTACCTTCACAGTTACAGCACTTTATTGCTAATAAAACACTTTACATTATTTTTTGGTTGTTGGCTTGCTGCATGTATCATTTATAGTTATCCTCCAAAGGGAAAGTATTATAGAAAAATAATTGCTTCACCAGTGAATTCAGTTTAACAGAAGGTAATTTACCTGCAGGGAAACATCAGTGATGCACACTGATTGCTTCTTTTCTGCTCATCAAATTTAATCTATTACAGTTAATCTTGATCACTACAGAAGAACTGTGCATTATTTCCCATTTTAACATAATTCATTAGGTTCAGGATGAACTAGCATGATCTGCAAATCTGTAGCAATTCTATTCTCTAAGCATTCCTACCCAGGGACCTTTCCTATTGTAGACTGTGAGTTTCTTTCACGTGACTTTAAGATTTATGTGATGCAAATAAAACAACAGTCAATTTATGAACTAACCATAAAACCTCTCAGCATAGTTCTCAATTTGTTAGAATTATAACATATTTATAAATTGTCTTGTTCTTTGTAATGACGATATTAAAATTTGAATGAAATCATCAATAGCATCAAGTTATAATTAAAGTTTAAACTTCTTAAGTGTGTTGTAACCTTTTATCTGAAATTTGTGGCTGATTTCTATCACTTTCTGTACTGGGTTTTAAACTTTAAGAAAGAAAATCTTAGCATAGAATTTCCTATGTAAGAAAATGAAACAGAAAATAATAATTTTTATAAATAGAAATAATAGAGAAAATAATTTATTTTATTGAAATATTTAGTTCACCAAAGCCTGTGCTTTTGAAATACATGAAGAATGCTAAACCACAGATAAACAAAGTAATCTTAAAAATAATTTTCGGCCCACGTTGCGGCTCAATAGGCTAATCCTCCGCCTGTGGCGCCGGCATCCTGGGTTCTAGTCCCGGTTGGGGCACTGGATTCTGTCCTGGTTGCTCCTCTTCCAGTCCAGCTCTCTGCTGTGGCCCGGGAGTGCAGTGGAGGATGGCCCAAGCACCTGGCTCCTGGCTTCGTATCAGCGCAGTGCGCCGGCCGTAGCGGCCACTTAGAGGGTGAACCAACTGAAAAAGGAAGACCTTTCTCTCTGTCTCTCTCTCTGTCTAACTCTGCCTGTCAAAAAAAATTTTCAAGTTGCTCAAATATCATTTCTCTCCCACTTCTTATAATTACGATATTATGTATTTCAGCACATCATAGTCAAGCAAGTTAACACTGATGTGACTTACGTATTTGCAATTGTCTTCTGAAAGAAAGACAATGGAATTTATATTTACACATGTGTGTGTGAAGGATGGCAGAGAATACCACTTTAAAATATCCTATGTTGGCATAAATACTATTTTGAATTGAGGTCATTAGAGAAGACATAGATACAGTAAAACATATCTTCACTCCCACTTATTTGACTAAAAGAAGTAGATTTATTTACAAAGGTGTCCCTCCTCCTCTCTCTAACAAGAAAGGCAAACTTCGATCACCTGAGATGACCTTGAAACCTTACCAAGGTAGAGGAATGCACCACATGACTATACATAGTAAAGTTTACTAACCAGCCTTTATTCAATGTGAGTTTTCCAGTTGGCCTCTTTCACTTCGTTTCTCTCATTTTCACTGAAGGTGGGATTTAAAGTCAAACTTTAAAATTTTTGATAACTACCCATTCCCTTGGTATAGCTCATGTATAAAAGTACTTTGAAAATTTTTAAAAATCCATGTATAGTTTGTTCAAACTACACATCTTCAAATATGTTTTGAAGACATCTTCATGCACATGGAGTTATTTTTTCACCAAAATGAATGTATCTTAATTTTATTTTCTACTAAGTTTGCGGGTTCCTTCATGTGTAAGAGGTGTGTATGTCCATTAACTTCTGCTTGTTTCTCTTTGGAAAATCTGTCTTGTAAAAGAAGTTCAAAATTGGAACTCTGGAGGTTTCAGGGAAAATTATTTTTCTTCTTCTATGTCTATGATTACCAAGTGACAGGGAACAAGAGAGAAGAGAAAATAGACAGAAAATTAAAACTAGTTGTGAGGATAACTGGGTGGAGGGAGGAGGAGGGAGAGGAGAAGGGCAAAGAGAAGGAGGAAAGAGAAGAAGAGGAGAAGGAAAGAGGAGGAAGGAGATTGTCCAGGGCTGTAGAGGAGGCACAGTTCTTCCTTTAATTCAGCACTTTCAGCTGGGCCTGAAAATTAAGTTGACTTAAGAGAAACTAATGGTAGCAAATCATGCACATTTGTTTAACATAGGTCACATGACGGAGAGCCCCTTTTAAAAAACTGAAGACCCAAAGAAACAATTAGACATTGTGAAAGTAATATAAAGAGTAGTTTTAATAGACTGCTAGGATGAGGAATTCTATCAAGAACATCAAGTTGTATTTAAAATTTAAACTTCACAGTGTTGTAAAATTTTACCATAAGTTTGTGGTTGATTTCTCTCATTTCTAAACTGGATTTTAAACATTAAAAAAGGAAAACTTAATGCCTGACAATTAAATTTCCTATATAAAAAATTGCAACACACAGCACAATTTTTATAAAGCAAAGTAAATACACAAATAGAGAAGATACCTTATTTGGACAAAGAGTAGGAAATTGTGAAAATACAACAAGGCAAGTG